AGGTGACCCATACTATGTGTCACTCTAAGTATCTGTTGAAATTAGGAAACAGATCCAACACTGGATAGGCTCTGAGTAGATTTGCCCTTCTGGGGGAACTGAGCCAATCGAGGTGAAATTTCTGTGGCAATCACCACCACTCAGTCAAGAGCAAGGGTTTCAGAGCTGAGGAAACCACTCACCTGCTCACCCTCTGACTTCCTTGCATGCTTCCTAAGGTGTCACCTCCCACGTCCATCTGGTTGGGTCTCTGGCTTATGGCAAAAGATTCCAACTAGAAGTAACCAACCACTTCCTGAGCCTCAGGGGTGGTTAGGTCTTGAGACACCTAGGAAACCTAAAAGCTCTAATCACATCTCTACAGCCCTCGCAGCCAGGCCTCTCTTCTCTCTTCCGTATCCTGACTTCTAGGATCTCAGAGTCTATGGGGCCTTAGAGGCCAGTTCTGCTTTCATATTGGCAGTAACAGAAAACACAGTCTCCTGAGTTCACCTGCTCTACTTTTGAAAAGTCCTTAAAGTGAGCTTTACAAATATGCTCTAGGTTATCTCCCCCGATCCTGGATCCCCCATCCCTCATTCCTATTCCACGATTATAACACTGAGGTCCTCTACTAGAATTATTACTTGAAGAGTCCATTGAGGGTCAGGGGTTGGCAAATTCTTTAGAATAACAGAGCCCTCCAGCAGGATACTTAACTACAGCCCTGGTGGGCCAATCCCTTTCAGTATAGTTTAGTGTCTATTGGACGGGACCAGACCCCTCACCCCCCCCCAAAGAAGGACCTTTGTCCTTCGTCTGAGTCTTTACCTTTCAAGCTCCCATTAAGCTGAATGCAGTTAAATATCTTTCTATGTTTTAATGCAAGTTACAAGCCGAGCGAAGGCGAGGCCGGGTAAACTGATGCCCTCTGTGATAAAGGCAGGAGGGAGGCGGGTTGTTTTGATTTCCCTGCCATCTGCCCATTTCATAAAATGGCTGCTGCCAGTGCTCCTGATCTGCCCGATAGTCCCCGAGCCAATCACGCCAACCCAGGCCCCTGTGTGTGCTCACTGTCTTGCTGAGCCTAAAGCGAGGGTGGCACCGTCTATTATAACACTGAAATTTGTATATCCCGTCAAGAAATGGCTCACGGCTGAATCATATGCAAATGCTTCTAATCTTTGCTTCTTGCTAAGCAGCTTAGCTGGAGTCACGATCTGGCTCTTGCACCATAAACCCGAGGCTTGGTGTTGGCCCTGCCCCGGCCGGACCCTGGCCGAGGGCCTGGCCGCCCTGGGGGAGAAAGCCAAGCTGGACCACTTCCCCAGAGCGAGCCCTTCTTTTATGGGCATGAGTCACCTAACCACATGGCTGCCTTCAAAGGTTCTGGCTTTTATTTGGGGGTGAGGGGGAGACACAGGGGGAGAGGCCAGCATATTAAAGGGAGGCTTCAGATCAAAAGAATTTAGTGCTAAAGCAGCTCAGGGATTCCACAGCTTGCCACACAGCATGGGACAAGGGGGCTGGAAGAAATTAGGGTTTCCTTTAGCCTTTGGCTGCATATACCTCCATAGGACCATGGAAATATTTGTATTTGGGGGTTTTATTTTCTTTTATTTGGTCTTTCTCAAACTGGGTGGAGGTCTAGCTTAGGTAAAACACCTGACATTTCAAAGAGAAAATTTCTCAGTGGTCTATCCGGCCTGGGGTTTTCAAATCTGGACTCTTTAGTGAGCCACAAACCCCTGAAATTGCTTACAGATTTTCACAAGTGTATAATTATGTGCATTTTTCTGGGAAGAGGGTCTAAGTTTTCTGTCTTATTCACAAAGTTACCCTAACCCCAAAGTAATTGATTCTACACCAGCTCGGAACCCACATGCAACGATTGGGGCCAATAAACTGGGAGACACTAGGTTGTTCTGAATTCAACCCTGGCTTTGACATAAAGGCCCTGCATCCCTCCTGGCTGCCATCTGGAGATGAGCTTTGCTTGTGGCCCGCTGGGTAAATGCCACTCTTTGTCTGAAGAACAACGTGGCCCTGTCAGAGTGATGTATCACTTGGGAAGCGGGGCGAGTGCCAGACCTGTCGCAACATTGTCACATCCTGATGGGATGTTGCAACCTCACCCTGAAACCTACAGGGAGGGAGAGTGAAGTCTCCTTGCATTTCCTGTGAATTTGTCCTGCTAGATTTCAGAGAAACCCAAGGCAGGTGCAGGTCTCTTTCTGACAAAGCCAGGGGAGGAATTCTTAACCAGAACAAGAGGTTTCTTTTCTAACCAGATCTCATTAAATCCCTCTCCCCCATCTTGCCACGGCTCTCAGAGAAACTGCTGGGAGCGCGGTGACAAGCTGGTGATCAGACAGGCAAGTGTGTCCGTACGCCCTGGGAAATACAGAATCATCAGATTGGAATTACTTTTTCCCACTAACTAGAGCATTAGAGGACTGAACCCGATTCTTGGCAGGGAAGACTTTCATCAAAACTGTTGTGTGCCACCAGCCTAAGAAATGGCACAGAATAGTGGTTTTGAGTAAAGCCTCTGGGTTCAAACTGACCGTGTTCACATCTTGGCTCTACTCTCAGGCTGTGTGACTTTAAGACAAGTCATTTGACCTCTCTTTGTCTCAGTTTCTCCATAGCTATAAGCTTTGCGTCATAATAGTACCTACCTCATAGGGTTATTGTATGAATTAAATACAATGAGTCATGTAAAGTGCCTAGTTCCGTGCCTAGTACATAGTAAATGCTCAATAATAGTAGCTGTTCTTAAACACTGAAAACAGGAGCTAATGTTTATTCAAACTTTTTTGAGTAATGAACCACTCCTGACAACTGAATGAATGCCATGGACCCTCTCCCTTCGCATATATGTTCAGTCAGTCTGAAATGCCCCTGAAGGCACATCTGGGTTAGTGGAGCCTAGGTTAGGAAGCCCCAATGTACCTCACACAGAAGAGATGCATTTTACTGGCCCAGTTTCTTAACAAAACTGGTTTGCATTTAGGGACTACTCTGTACTAAAATTGGTAGATTTTTGATTGTGTGATTTTTTTTTTGTTAAGTTCTGCCTTGGACACCTAAAGTGCCTACACACACACACACACACACACACACAGAGCTAGATTATTTAGTTTTCTTTCCAAGAAGTTTTATTTCACAGATCCGCTTCTGTCATCTCCTCCTTGGTGATAGTCACAGGGTTACCATAATGAGTCATTTGTTAAACTAATCTGTGTTTCCATAGTCCATGTGGCCCTCTGTACTGAGCTGAGGCCAGTCAATGGCTTCTTTGTCAGGCTGATTAAAATGTAACTTTGCATGCCCAAAAAGGCACTCCTTTGGCTTAAAAGCCATCTCTCTTTGTTATAAATGTTTACATTTTTGTATTAAAAAACAAAAACCCTTTCAATGACCTAAATCCTTCAGTGGCTTTCCATCTCTCTCAGAATAAAAGCTAAAATCCTAAAAACCCCACAAAGCCTTAATGGCCCAAACCTCAGCCCCTACCCTCTGCCCCTTGCTCACCAGCACACTGGCTTCCTGCTGCTCTGTGGCCATATCAAACACACACTGACCTCAGGGCCTTTGCACTTACTCTTCATGTTCTTGGAAGACTCTTGCACAAGCTCTCTGCATGGCTGTTTCCCTCACGCCCTTTTGGTCTCTTCTGTAACCACCACCTTATATTAAATTATCAATTAGTCCCGTCTCCATACTTTTAACCCAAGTTCTTACCCTGAAATATTTTCTTCCATGGCACAATATCTTCCATGGCAATATTTTCTTCCACTGCCACATACTGGAAATGGGCCAGGCATGTAGTAGGTGCTCAATAAATATTAGTTAAGTGGGTGGGTGGATGAATAAATGATAATGGAAGGAAAGAGGTAAATTAACTCTCGTTTTTCTCCATAGCAGAGTCACCGGATGTGAAGAAGGAACAAGACCCCCCTGCCAAGTCCCACACCAAGAAGCACAGTGAGTTGTGCGGCTTTCAGACGGTGCTCAGCCAACCCTTCACCTTGGGTGTAATCGGAGGCCACTAGTTTTTAGACAAATACACCCTCTGCCTGCTGCCTCTATTGCTTCACCCCAGACTAGGGAGGGTGAGAAACCCCCCGCAGTTGTTTCTCAAGTGGAGCCCCAGTGAATGAGTATCGCTCCCATTTTGTTCTAAAACTGAGATACCCAGTGAATAAGAACCTCTTGTAGGCGTGGGGTTCGCGGTGTCCCTTTCTCCAGAAAACGGAGTGGGAGGGGGAGGAAGGTAGAAAGGAAGCTGCGCTGAGATGCAGTAGTGTTTTCTTTTGCTGAACGCTGGCTTCCTGGCTTTGTGGAGTTGTTGCTCCAAGAAATGAGTATCTATTCTTAAGTGCTCCTTGGGAGTTGTATTTCCCCAGGTAATAAGAACTGATGAACGTGTATTAAATATCAGAGACAAGGTGTGTGTGTGTGTGGGGGGGGAAATAAATCAAGACGGTATAATCTAGAAATTGCAGGGAACTGGACCTCTTCATTATGTGCCTACTCCAGGTCATCCTGCAGAACAGAATGAAGACAGCCCCTCAAGCGGGGGGGCTGGGGTGGGTTTGTGTGTCCCAAGTCCAGCTGAATTTGGTTGCTAATCTTATTACCGTTACCCCTTCATTCCCAAATTGGCGCCCTCAACCCCAGCCAGACCCGGCCCTGGTCTATTCTAGGAGGTGAAATGCTAGACCCCAATTGATGTGCAGAAAACACTGATGTGCTGAAGCCCAGTGCTGGGTGCCATCGATTTAACTGAAGTACTTGCTAAATAAAAGTGGTTGAAAGGTGCCCTCTGGGGAAGGAACAGGTTGACATGAATCCAGGACAATTTGTCATCAATACTTAGAAGACACTCTAATAGGGCACCGAAGGCCTATTCTTTCCTCCTGGCCCTGCTGCTAGTTAACTAGGTAACCTCGGCCAAACCACTTAAACTTTCTGTGTCCCGGTTTCCTGACTTGCAACTAAAGAAAACCGTGCATTCCATTCGCAAACGCCTTTCTGAAATGTACAGTACTTGGGGATTCTGCGACCTGGCGTTGCAGGTGGGCGGGGGAGAGCCGAGTGTCCCCCACCCGCCCTTCCCCGGCGCCGCCCTCGCTGTGACCCGGGCCCGGGCTCACCTCCTCTCTCCGCCCTCAGACCCGCGGGGGACTCACTTATGGGAATTCATCCGCGACATCCTGCTGAACCCCGACAAGAACCCCGGGTTAATCAAGTGGGAAGACAGGTCGGAGGGCATCTTCAGGTTCTTGAAATCCGAGGCTGTGGCTCAGCTGTGGGGGAAAAAGAAGAACAACAGCAGCATGACCTACGAGAAGCTCAGCCGGGCCATGAGGTGCG